GCTACATTCGTCTGGTCAAAACTGACCCCCTCTACCAATGTTCTGTCGTCTCCTTTCGTCTCCACTCTCTGCCCCCACCCCTGTCACCTCCTTTGCCCACTCCTCTGGGCTCCTGACTTTCTGCAGCCTTTTTACTGCTACTCCGTGGATCCTTCTTACTGCTGTCCTTCAGCCACACCCCTGATCTCCTGATAGGGAAAATCTACACCTAGCCTTCTCGGACAAGGGCACACAAAAAAACTCGGAGGTCCCGTGTGCAAGTTGCGCACGTTAAAGATCCCTTGGTGGTCTAAAATCGATAAGAGTAAGCTCTGGTCGCCACCTGGGCAAAATTCAAAATTTCCTACCAACTGAAAATGTATAGTGTGTCCCGCGCGCTCAAATGACCTTATGCTTTTGAGAGCGCCGTAAAACACTTACCAAAAAGAAAAAAAATGAAATACCGAGATTCTCGATAAAAATCCTCCCTACTCGGAAATTGAACTTAGGTCTTCTGTGTGCAACATCGAAGCGCACAGCCTCTACACCACATACGCCGGTACTTTGACGATGAAAGTACAAGCGTAACCAATCTTGTTATCTTTTCTAAATCCACAAATTTTAATGTTTTCACACAATCTACAGGCACAGTAGTACTACATATTTGTGAAAAAAAATGAATAAACAAAATACCTGACAACAAAACAGCTGTCTTCAGAGGGTCGTTGTTTGATAGAAATTGGGGACTCGTTCACTTCCAGCAGGAATTTTGAATTTAATTTGCCTTATTGGTAAGAAATATTATGGAAACGACAAGTTTCATATTTCAACGTGTTCAAAGAAATAATTGTTTAGTTTGTTTGTATTTGTTTAGTTGCTGTTGTTGTTGTTTTTGTTGTTTTGGGGTTTTTTTTAAAAAAATTGTACATTTACCGCTGTCTGTGTGAAAAGTGAAAGTAAGTTCAAAGAATGGAATATATGGTCGCTTTTAAGTTCAAGTGAGCTATCCCAAAAAAAGTTGTTTTGAGAAAATCGAAGGTTAAGTTTTTTCCCCTTGTTCAGTTTCTTTAAAAGACAAGGAGAGTTCCTCTCTAACCAAACAAATATACACACCATTGAAACCAAACTTCTTCTATAGGTAGGGCAATGCCCACATTTGAGGTAAGTCAAGATTTCTGGAAACTTCCGAAATCTGGGTTAGCCCGCTTGTCCTTAAAAGAGACCATATGTGAAATGTGAGCACATTGATGGGAGATTACTTCCCTCAATTGACGTTCTGAGGCAGCTCAAGTGTGAAGGAGCTATTACTTTGATCCTAGTTCTTTGATCTTTAACTGCCACGGCGGAGCGACCAAGTTACTGCTTTTGGAATCAAATTTTGTGAGCCTAACCACTTGGACACAGTACATCAGTTTTTAAAAATCTGATGACACTGTACCCTAATCCTTACCCTAACCCTAACCCTATCACTAACCTTAACCCTAACTCTAACCCTAACCCTAACCCCAACCATAAAAACAATGCCCTTTTGAGAGCTGTGAGGACTTCACTGTGTAGGCTGAGGTTAAACTACAAGAAAATTATGGCATTGATCTTTAATCTGGGGGTGTCATCTCTGACGCATGACCTCCCATCCTCTTCGGTCACGAGCTGAATTTGCACATTCTGCTAGATCCAGGCCAGACCGTGTTTTTATGTTGTCCATCCATGTTACTCTTTGTCTTTCCCTGGCTCTCCTGCCCCACATGCTTCCTTCAAAATCCTCTTTCACATTCGTCTCGTGTTTTTGTAAGTCGCCAAAGTATTGTATTTGTTCTACATCTAAAATCTTATAATTATCAGCTCTTTATCATCGTTGGCGAGGCGGCATTTCTGTAGCTCCGACGTGGTGCTCCCTCTAAGGCTTCTCAGGTTGATTTTATTTTCCTTTTTTTGTGGCAACCCTAGGTGGGGGTGGAGAGGGGGGCATGATATTTGTTTATTTGTTGTACTTTTATTGTTGTTTAGTTGCTTTTTGTTGTTGCTGTTTGGCTGTTTGTTTGTTGATTATTATTGTTTCTTGATTGCTGTTATTTGATTGGTTGTTGATTGTTGTTGTCTTTTTATTTTTTTTATTTTTTGGGGGGGGTGTTTTGTTTTGTTTTGTGTTTTACGCAAAACATCTACAATTACAAATTATTTGCACCCCTGCAGACGTACTTAAACCCTGACTTTCGGTTGCCTGCCCCTGCTTAAAATACTGTCGGTGTATCAGACTGTCAAAATAATGTGTTCACGGGTTTTCTGTATGTCATTAAGCCTTAAAGGACACAACGGACAGATTATTGTGTCCGATCAGCATTAGACCGAAAGCAATGTCGTGTCACATTTCCAACCATCATACACTAATGAAAAACACGAATTTGTATAACATTAATTCATAGGATGCATGTTGTTACCCGACTTTTAGTGTTAGATGAAGGGAAAAAACTGAAATATCTGTATGAATAATAATGAATAATACAGCTACGGTTCATTTTTTAAGTGCAACCCCCCCCCCCCCCCCCCCCCAGATCAGTGCGTTTCGAGCGTTGTCAATAAATGATCATAATGCGCTTCCTCAATGACTTAAAGGACCAGCTGCACCTTAACAACTCGCTTCCTCTGAAATAGAAAGTTCTATCTCCTCGGTATCTAGTTTTGAGAAATTTGACGTTAAACATTTTTGAGTTTGACAACATGTCACGCTTTTTCGAATGCAATCCTTTGAATATCCTTTAAACGACTATGAATAATCTTATGATTTTGATAAAGCAAATAGAACATTTGGTTTATGACCTCATCGTCTTAGTAACTCAAAACGGCCAAAAATGTCAGATAGAACTTTGTAATTCTGAAATAGTGAACTTTAGCAGTAAGCCCCTCTGCCACATGGTACGTCGATGTAAATCTATTCGTGATCTCGGTATTTTTCATTGATACGACCCAAAAAATCAATCTCTGCCAGTCAAAGACGAACAGATGTAGGGAAAGATTTGCGCCTCGCTTAGAAAGCAGTGTTGCCCGTTAATCATTCCCTGAATTTTTTTTACGTTATCATGTTTTTTTGTTGTTTTTTTTAAATGGAAAATTGGGGAAGCGCGGAAACGAAGAAAACTTTTGACAATAAAAGGCCTATAATATTATTATTTTTCCGTAGTTGTGCGTCTTAGATTTGATCTAAATTGTTCAAAAGTGTGGCTTTTCCTTTAATGTCCAGCAAAGAAATTGCTAAAAAAGGCTTCATCGGAATGCGGAAACTTTGGTTGGTTTGATGTTCACATGAAAAAAGAAGGGGTATTGAAGAAGGAGCTGTGACCAATAAATGATCAAAGGTATTCAATGCCATCTCATCATAATTATAAACGCCGCTGTTGCATATTTACATTACGTTGGTGTTAGATTTGTGCTATTATTGGAAAACAATAATCCAGAGTGTTAACCAGGCACAACAAATACAGAAACATGAATATTTGTCTTGAGTGCAACTACACTTTGTATGGTTTCCTTCACGTTTTCTGTCACACGGATATTTTTACAACTAGCAATGAATGCCTAGACGTCTCTCGAACAGGCAACAAGGAGACACCTTTATTGTCTTTTCTCTCCTTGACGGTTGGAGCGTGACGAAAGGCTTCATCAAATTCTTTACTTTCCTCAACGTTGAGCTACATTCGTCTGGTCAAAACTGACCCCCCACAGGCACGGTACGGTGGGGGTCGCATAAACAGGTTTGAAATGTCGCGGCTAGTTTATAAAACTTCGGGTTCGGTTGTAAAATTCAGGGAGTAGCGGCCTAAGCCGAAAAGGTTTGTGATCAGTTTACACTGTGACTGGAGCGGGCGTATAGAGATGGTGAGTGTTTCAATAGAATAGTTGTTGTTGTGAGGAAGATTTCTCTTCTTTATTCGTTGTCTCACGTTTTAACTCATTGAAAACACAAATTCTTGTCATTATAACACTCGAAAAAGCTTAACTTTGTTATCCATACAGATTTTCCAATTCGGTTTTCTTTATCTCAAACTTGAAAAAAGCAGACGACAGCATGTATACTATGAAATGTTCACAGTTGTGTTTCTGCTCTGTATAATATGTAGGTTAGAAATGTGCCATAACATTGCCTGTGACCTGTTTCTGGATGGATAAATAATATGTCCGATACACCCTCAAAGAGTTAATATTAAAAGTACATCAACATAGTAATAGCTGTTGTGATAATATTTAGCAGCGGAAAAAAAGTATGGTGATTACCAACGTGATATTATCTTTCGAAGGAAAGAGAAACAATTATTGGTGTCCTCCGAATATCGGTGTAAAATTGTCTGAGAATGTAATTCTTTTTCGTGTGAGCTTCATGCAAATTCATGGTAACAACACTAGATAGCAATATCTGCCATTTTACGTTAGCATAAAACAGCGAAGTAGTTTTATATGACAGCTTGGTGTTGAACAGCGAAACAGACTGAGAAAATTGTATCTTCCCCTACTTTCTGGGATTGTATTTGCTTGTTCACAAATTGTATAATCCCCTACTTTTCCAATATCATTTTTCAAAAGATGTTTACCTCACCCCCTCCCTCTTGTTTTTCTCTTTTCTCTTTTCTCTCTCAACCTAAGCCCAACCCAATTCCCCCCCCCCTGTCCCCCGCCCTTTTCACCCTCATTGTAATATTGTAATGTTTCATGCTTCCACTTTCTTTTTTTGAGGTGGGCGTGCGGGGCGGGCTTTCTTCCTCCCATTTGCATTATCAAATGAGACTCAAAACCTGACTTTGAAAAAAAAAAAAACTAACTAACTAACTAAGGGGCAATTTGAAAAAAAGAAGCGTAATTTTTAACTTCGTTATTCATACATGCTTTTCAGTTCTGTTTCCTTTACGAGAAGACTTAAAAAGACAGGTAACAACATGCATAGTTTGTTGCAGAGAGTTTTAGATAGACTATGTTGTAAGTAAATTCAAGTTTCTGACTTGTTCATGATGGGTCAAAGTGTGAGGAAACATCACAAGTGGTTTTCTGTTGATCAGACATGTTGTGGTCCACTACGCTCTGAAACCCTCTATTGCATGGTGTATGAAGCAATAATAAGTTGCGGATCAAATGTGAGGCAGCGTGGTGGAATCAGGCTCTCGTCAATTTTTGGACATGTAGAGTTATTGGTATCATCTTAAAGCTTGTTACTTGTCTTTAT